CCACCACCCGCCACTGACCTGGTCTTTTCTGGATACAAAATACAGGGGCGTTCCAAGGGCTTGTGGATGGTACAAGATGGCCAGCTTCTAATTCTCTCTGTACAATTCCATTAATAGCCTCCAACTTTTCCAAACTGAGGGGCCACTGTTCCACCCATACCAGCTTGTCTGTCTTCCATTTCATAGAAATTACCAATCTCTCAGCAGCGGCCCCTATTAAAAAAGTGACTGGAAAACAATTCCCATTTGTGTCAAAGCATCCCTTCCCAAGATTGCTAATGGAACTTGCATCACATATGGTTGAACTCGCATGGATAGACTCTTCTGCTTCAATTCGTGGTGCTGGACTTGAATTACCTGCACACTCAGGGTGGAACGCTGGCACCCCCCCCCGCCTCCCAGCACTGGCCCTGAATCCCGGAGCAGCCACTCGGGGGGCCACTCATGTTCCAGAATCACTGTGACATCAGCCCCACTATCTATAAGTGCTACGCATTTAAATTCCTTAGGGCCCTCCCCAGGCCCTAATTGCCCCACTGATATCAAGAGTTCGGGGCGCTTTTGCGATCTCATTAATAGGTTGATGGAGGGAGCCACTGCAGCACCCCTCCCTGCTGTGGGATTTTCCCCATCTCTGTTATCACCTTCTCCTCCTCCAATCTCCCCTCCAGCATGGTCTGAACGCGGGGTGGGCCTGACCATTGGTCCTTGTGCGGTCGGATTGGCTGGGCTCCCTGACTGTGCCGCCTCTTTCCCGGCATAATACAGCCCTGCGCTAAGTGCCCTATCTTCCCACATCTCCAACACTGCACCCCATCACGACGTCTTGAGGGCATTCCAGCAGAAACCTGAGGGCAATCCCTCTTCAAGTGCCCTATCTGACCGCAACCCTGACAACGAGGCTGTATTGCCTGCTGCAGTGCTGCTGCTAGAGGCTGCTGAGCGTGGGTGGTCTCTCGCTCTAAGACATGCCTTATCATAGCTGGAAGGGAGGCATCCGACGGGAGTGTGGACAGAATCTGCTTGCACTGCGGGTTGGCTTGCGCATGCGCACACTCACCTACCAGTGCCTGCTTAGCCACCTCTGGCATACTTGG